CTGTATTTTTGAGGTTCCTGGCATTTCTGGCCTTGTTGACTGAGAGACCCTGCTACTCTAGGGCTACCCAATTCTTTTTAAAAAAATATTTTTTAATTATACACAATACCTTTATTTATTTTTTTTGTGGTGCTGAGGATCGAACCCAGGGCCTCGCACATGCTATGCGAGCGCTCTACTGCCGAGCCACAACCCTAGCCCCTACTCAATTCTTAAAGCTCTCAGAGTTCCCAGAGTACAGCTTTCGTGTGTAAACCCACCATCCCAGAGCCCTGGATTTATTATTACCCCTGTCCTAATCAACCGAGGAACCAAGTACCAGACAACTAGGGTCAGCTCCGCTGCCCCAAAGCCCACCGGGATGACTGAATCTCTCTAACCCCAAGCTGTTTACCCTCTCACGCCCGGCCTTACCCACAGAGGCCTCAGTGAGGCTCTGGCCCAGAACTTTCCTTCATTATTTGCTTTTGACTCAAGAATCACCTGACTTGAGGGGTAGTTAGGTGGCCCCAGGCCTAAGGAGGGCTGTACAGGACTCTGGTGTAAGAAGTGTGATTCCCCGGGGCTGTGAGGTACAGGAGTCCCACCATAGTCCCAGGACTGGGCTTGGTCAGGGCCGAGGGGGGACCACAACAGCCCCCTCTCCACACCCTGCTGAAAGTATGTTGGGGTGGGGTAGGGGCCCAACAAATCCCGTCTGACACAGGCTCAGTTGCTCAGCCTCCTCTGATAGCCTTAGTCCTGGTCTGTCTGGGAGCTGTGCTTAGACTAGGATCACTCCAAAGTCCAGGGGGCAGCTTGATCCTCCGGGACCCCCCGGGCACAGCAGACATGATGGTAGATACTAGAAGGCGTGGTTCCAGTCGTTGACTTCACCATTGAGCCTCAGTGCCCCACACCCCACTCTGTTTTCTCTCAAGGCCTCCTCACACGAGAACATTTTGTTCAATATACTCCCACGCACTGCTCCCGGTGCAGCGTGTGCCTGCCACTTAGCTCGTCACCAGGTCCCCTCCCTGGCCTTGAGACAGAGGCAGAGTGAATGTTGTGTCAGCATCACGGGGCTGGGGGATGGAGTCCACGGGCCGCAGGATCCACGGTGGGCAGGTGTCTGAAAGATGCAGAAAGCTCCTCCCTGTCCTTGCAGCCCTGCCCTGTCCTTAGAGTGGCTGCTCTGGAAAAAGAGAAAGAGGCTGACCTGAGGATCCCTGTTCTGTTCATTTCCTCCTTGTTCCCCAATAATTGACCGGGAGATGAAGATGAGCTCTGCCTCTGAGAAGGAGCCAGATGCTTCCAAAGGATTGTGGCTGCTGCTAACAGTGGGCCTGTTTGTCCTACAAAGCCCCCCGTCCGATTGTCCCCAGTGCAGGTGGCAGCTGGTGTGATGGGACCCTAATTGGAAGAGGATCCTGTGACCTCCAAACCAATTAAATGATTTCTCCAGAGCTGGGAACAGCTGGTGTGGCCCAAGCCTGTGATTGCTCTGGGAAACAGGTGATTTTATTTTATTTTTTTCCTCCCACAGAAGTCATCTCTGCGATCTTAGGAGGTATTGACTGTGGGTGCTGTTCAGGTCCAGAAAATTGGCCTCAGGAGGAGCAAGAAAAGTGGCATTAGCAACTTGGCTTTTTCAACAGCGGCTCTAATGAGGCAGAGCTGGATTGTTGAGTGAATCGTTGCTTCCAACTCTCAGAAAAGTGGTCCACGCTAGAAATAGAAGGTACCTGGGACACATTTCTTTCATGCAGAGGATTGGGGGTGGGGAGAATCATGTTTGAAACCTAAACCATGTCACTGGAACTGCATTGGAAAGCATCCCTTGAGAATATTTTGGGCCATAGAACTGATCCGAATCTTGATTGTAGCCATGATCACACGATTCTATCCATCCGTCAAAACTCACAAAGCTGTAAACATCAAAGGGTCAATTTTACTATCTGTAAATTATTCCTAATTTTAAACACACACAAAACACACATACACAGTGGTCCAGAGCCAGTGAGCCAGTGTCCTCACCCAGACCTGGGCAGACCCCAGTGTGGTCTGAGGTGAACCCTATGTCCCACCCATACCTCCCAAGATTCCCTCGTGGACTTTTTTAAAAACAGGGAGAAGGAGTTAGAAGCACCAACATAGAACTATGAAAGCTCAGAGAGTGGATGTCCAGGCCACACCCAAAGGATACAGTCAGGATCTTGGGATTTTTAATTGCCTCTGCCCCTTGGTAATAGATTGAGGCTGCTGCCATGAATTTAAGATGCTTAGTCTCTTCCCTCCTTCACCATATGGTCCTTGAGAACAGTGTCACTCTCTCCCCTGCCATATTTACCTTCAACCTTTCGTCTATCCCCACCCTTGCCCACAGAGGCTGGGATTCTCATGGTAACATTACCAGGACACGTTCAATAGGCTCCTCTCTCTCCCACACAGAGGTCAACCTGGAAGTGTGGCCCTGGGCCTTGACTGCCTCCTGCCACCCCTCCCTCATTCCCTGGGAATGTGTGTGTGTGTGTGTGTCTACAGAGGAAGGAGCATGGAACTTGGAACTGAGCTCTGCTCCAGCGCCTCCGGTGGGTGAGACTCCTTGATGTTGCTGGGTTGGAAGCAAATCACTAAGCCTCTTTGGTTTCTCTTCAGCGGGATGCGGGGAGTTGGATAAGAAACCTCCTAAGGACTCATTGTGGAGCACTTAAGCATTCAAGCCCTACTTAATATGTTTTACTGACAGCTCCCCAGAGGATGGGACCTCATGACTTTCATCTTTTGATTTCCTACAGGAAGCTCTGCGGTGTTCACACATGAATGCCCAATCGCTGTTTGCCAAATGAGTTATTAGTAAATCCATTTCTCACGGGAAAAAGAACCAAGGTATTGTGAGGCTGCTGGGGGTGAGCAGGAATGGGAGGGGGGGCAACGACAGAGGAAGGTGACTATAAAAAGATTGGCAACTGACCCAGAGACGTCCATACCATCATACAACTCTATAAGGACATAAATTACCCCTCTCCTGTGTGAGTGGGCTACAGAAAAAAGCCTGTCTTAGGAAGGTAGGCAGATTACTTGGAGTCACCAAAGGGTACCACTGGTCTTCCCCGCATTTCAGAAGGAGGCCCTGCACTCACTTCTGTGGTTTTATGGACATATGCCATATTTTCAAGGCAGTGCAGGTGCCCACAAGCTCCTCCTGCAAATGGTCAGCAGCTACACAAACTCCAGGCCCCAAAGAGGCGTGGCTACCTGCCAGTTTCACACCACTGCAGGTCCCACTCCCTCCTAATGCAAGCTTGAAACCTAACCACAGAGGCATGTTTCAGTCTCCAGCCGTCTGCCCACCCTCTCTCTGAGTTATATCTCACTTTTTTCTTGCCTTTCTCTTGCCTTGCTGTAAACCCACTCTCATTGCTGTCCCTGCCTCGCTGAGCAATGGCCCTAGTCTCAGGCATTCCACTCAAGGACCAAGGACCGCTCCGCAGCCGACTTGCAAACTCTGAAAACACTATGCCCCGCTTCCCAGGAAGAAGCAGCGGGTTAACTCAGAGCCCACCGCAGGCCTCTGGAACAGCAGCCAGCTCCCCTGGACCATTTCTAACATGGCTGCATTTCTAAATGCTTCTGTCCTAATGGAAACTCTGGCTGTGACTATGCCCACTCACAGAAAGACAGACGGTGGCCCTGCCCTCCCCTGCGTTCTGTCCCTGGCACCAACACTGAATTATCCCATTCCCTGTGTAGCATTGATGGGGCCTGAGGTTGTCCCCTCTGGAGGGGAAAATTAGGAGGCACAGCAGAGAGCTATTTTGCAAAGCTTTCCTGGAATTGATTTGGCTAGGGGACATTAATTTTTCAAGTATCCCTTCTTGAACATTGGCAAAGCAGACAGACTGCCAAAAAAAAAAAAAAATAGCTAGGATAGGGACACCTTCCTTCTGCCTTTTAGATTCCCCAGGAGGCTGCACATCTCTTAAAGGCATCGTGATTCCCCCTGTGATTCAGGAAGTGAGCTGTACCCGGCACAGCTGCCCATTCTGCACCTGTGTTGGCTCCTTGGACTGCCGTCTGGTCATCGCAGTTCCAGAGGGTGAAAGTTAAAAATCAAGTGTCTCATGCTTTTTCTTTTCTATCTCTCTCTTCTTCCCTCACTCCCTCCCTCTCTTTCTTTCTGAACCAAGGGAGGATTCGCTCCCTTGAATCCTTCTCAAGAATCCAGCCTGCATGATATGGCCATCATCTGTGTGTTTGTGTCTCTTCGTTCACATGACTTTCTTAGCAAAGAATATAAGATTTAGCCAGGTGTAGTGGTGCAGGCCTGTAATCCCAGCGGCTGGGGAAGCTGAGGCAGGAGGATGGCGAGTTCCAAGCCAACCTCAGCAACAGCGAGGCCCTAAGCAACTCAGTGAGACCCTGTCGCTAAATAAAATACAAAATAGGGCTGGGGATGTGGCTCAGTGGTCAAGTGCCCCTGAGTTCAATCCCTGGTACCAAAAAAATAAAAATAAAAAAAGAATACAGATTTAGACTTAGGGCTCAGGTGAATCCAGGATGGTTTCACCTGGGCTAACTACATCTATAAAGATCCTATTTTCCAAATAGGGTCCAAGTTGACCTAACTGGGAGTGGGGTCCCATTCCACCTCACACTGTCATCCTGCGATTCACTCACTCCAGGTCTGTGGAGGCTCTTGGCACCACATAGAGGTTATGTTGGAATCACAGGGAGGCACATTGCTTGCCATGAGTGACTCCATCCTGTGAGAACATTTGGTGGGAAGCGGCACAGGGGGAAAGGGTTAGGTCAGGTTAAGGACGTCGCTGCCCACAGCCAAGATTTATCTAAGTTCGGCAAATAGAACATCCCAGAAAGATAGAATACTGCTCCAGAGAGAAAGTTTGTTAGACAGAAAATATTAACATATTGTACTAAACCTTAGGGACGATGATTACCAGTTAGTTATTTTTGTCCTTCCACCCGCCAACAGAAGTTTTTGAATCAAATAACAGAAGTTAGTGAGATAAAATTGGCCACTTTATTGGGAAATTCTGGGCCTTCGACCAAAAGTTTCTACTGTTAATTAGAAACAGACACACCCACAACCTCCCCTGGGTCCAGGATGGAGTTGGATGACGTCAGTGCGGTGGAGAGAAGCTGGTGTAGTGGCGGTGGGGTCTCCTCCATCGTCCTCTGGCCAGCCTCGTGCCTCCTGTCCCACCATATTGTGAGTCTTGGGAAGAACACACTTGTGCAAGCAGCTAAAAAAAACTGATGTTTCATTGATGGGTACCAACGGAAGGTGTAGCAAATCTAAATTGATTTTAGGTAGGTAGGTCCTGACAGGTATATTACGTAAAATGGATAAGAAAAATATGCTAGTTTGAAGTTGTGCAGAAATCTTGTCATGCTGGAGAACTTAATGTGATGGCTTCTTCTGGGTATCTCTAATATGGATCACAGTCCTGGGGTGGGTGCAGGTCAGGGAGCTGCAATCTGTCGTGTGGCCGAGGGAGACAAGACATCAATCCATCAGATCTCCTACACCATCTCCACTGTGTCTTTCAGAGCCGGCTCTTCATCAGGACAGGACAGAGGAATAGATGCTTCATTGAAAACTGACTAGGATGACTCTCTAACCTGATTGTCCCTTGTCACACTGGTTTTTGGAACCAATGATCAGTTTCTTTATAGAATGTCCTGCATTTTGTGAGATTGTTTCTTTATAGCGACAGTGTACTCCTCTTTCATGCAAACTGAAGTTGGGACTCAAGTCTTGATTCGATTCATCTTTTTTGGGGGGAGGGGAAAGAATACAAATTTTTTTAAATGATCTTTTTCTGATAACAAAACTAATTCAAATTCATTGTAGGAAATTTTAAAGCAAGCGTGTGCGCGCACACGTGCACATACACACTAAGAATAGCCCATAATCCTATGATCCCAAGGAAAACTATATTCAGTGAATTTCTTCCCAGTCTTTTCTTCTCTGCATGTATATAAAGAGAGAATGGCCGAAGAATGAATAAATATTCTTTTTAAGAACAAAATTCTGACTATCATAGTTTCTCTGTGGCATAAGAGTGTGTGTGTTCTATCCATTGTTTGACCAGTTTTCCTACTGTAAGGTGTTTGAGTAATTCCCAATTTTTGCTCTAAAGATACAGATTGTATACAAACACCAATGTATACAATCTGTATCTTTAGAGCAAAACAGACACACCCACAACAATCAAGGTTGTATACATTGATGACAAACATCAATGTATACAACCTTATCTATCTTTTTTACAAATGGAAATACTGGTCCAGTATAACTCATGAGACTTTCGATTCACATTGATAAAATGCCATTATTGTATAAACTGGTGCAGCTACTAGCCATGGACGAGCTCCTTTTACCAAAGCTTCACCATTTTACCAAAACTTCACCAAACCAGGATTTGCTTTAAAAAATTTATAAGAGATGAAAACATAATGGTGTCCAATTTTAGTTTTCATACCTGACTATTTAAGGAATCAGAGCAAACTTCCATATGTTCATTAGATGTGTTTCTTTTTAGTCTAATCTATAGATCTTGTTGATTTGTGGAATCTTAACCACAAAAGAAGAGTAAATCTGTGTAGAGGCATGGCACAGAGAAAGCTCTTGGCATGGTGCTTGGCACAGGTGAGATGCACACTGTCTTTGCAGAGGTTCAATCAGGGGATCTCAGTTCCCTCCAGGACATGTTCCCTCCTGCAATCACAGGGGCTCTGTAATCAACCCCCAGGATGAAGCTTGGCACTCCTCCTGACCTTACCTCCCCACCTCCCACTCCTCTCACTCCAGCTGCTCCTCCTGGGCTCAGACCCATCTGGATTTGCCTCTTGGCTGAATTGCAGATGAGCTGCCCATGTACACTGGCCTGATCTGCAAAGGTGCACCCAGCCCTGCCCTGAAATCACCGTCAGTATTAGATGCCTGGCTGAGACGGCGTCACTTCTGAAAACAGCAGAAGGTGGGAACTGGGGTGGGAAAGGAGGGAGGTGCTGATCTAAGGCATGAGGACATCCTGGGCAGCCCAGTAATATCCCACCAGGATACTTTTTAAAATTCTGTAATGGGAAGTAGAGAGAAAGTAATTTTCTATTTTAAAAAATAGCATGCCGAGAGAGCATTTTTTCCCCCTCTGTGTTCCCAGAGTGGTTTCTCTACAGCTTTCTTCTGAGGTTTCTACACCGCAGTCACTGCCAACTTGTCTGTCTCCTCCAATCAGACTGTGAGTGCCAGGAAGATGGAGGACACTTTCCCTGTTTATCTTACAGTCTCTGTCGCCCTGTGCAGTATCTGGCACCTAGAAGGTTCTGGAATGAATCACTGACTCTCTTTCTGTAAAAGGCTAGAGTCGCCAGAAGGCTCGAAGGGAAGAGCAAGAAACCCAGACATTACTGACGTCAGGTCCCTTCAGACGTGGATGCGCTGCTCTTGGCGGCTGTCCATCTGCAAACAGCCGAGGGAAGTCCAGGGACCCCCCTGTCTCCAGCTGTTCCCAGGTCTTCACCTCCGCATCCCAAGTCACATGCAGCTCATCCTGTCATGGATGCAGCACTTCAGCTCGGAGAAAGAGAGGGACAAAGAAAGATGGGAGGGCAGCTAGGGAGGGCCACCGAGCTGCCCTGGTGGCCACCAGGAACAGGGAATTAGATTCAAAGCAAAGAATATGTAGGTGGAGGGGGCTTTGGAGAGGGCTTTGGGCCAGCTTGACAGCCTGATCTAGTTCCTCCCCACCCACCTGCAAGTTTTAAATCATTTAAGCTCTCTTCATAGTAAATGTTCTCCAAAGAAAACAGTCTTGTCAGAAACCCACGGTGGACAAAGAGAGAAATAGAAATCAATCAATTCCCTCTTTATTTTTACTCCTGGCCCCCAAGTTGGAAAAATAATCTCCCCATATCTGGGCTCTTCCCAGGATAGAGTCGGCTGCTAGGAATAGGTTCAGGAACATACCCAACAACCCAGTCCAGACCAGAACAATTCCCTCACCCTAAGAAATCGCCCTGCCTCAGTCGAGCTGTTCCCTCCCCCACCAGACTCAGGCGCCTCTGATCTGCTTTCTGCCATTAGAGTTTCTAGAATATCACATAAATGTACTCACGTAACACATCATCTTTTGTGTTTGATCTCTTTGACTTGGGCATCGTGTTTTGTAGGTTCATCTGTGTTCCATAGATTGCTATCTTTTTCCCTTTTTATTGCCAAGTGGTATTCCATTATGTGCATATGTACAAGTTAAATTTGAATATTTATTTTTAAATTGAAAATAAATTATGTTGTAAAATAAATAATTTCTGTTTAAATTTATTAAAAACATGAAAACTATATATCAATGGGATACCAAGTGATGTTTCAATAATGCATACATTATATAATATTTAAATCAGGGTAAATATCTAACTCTTCAGACATTTATCATTTCTTTTTAGTGAAAAGATTCAAAATCTCTTTATCAAGGGGAGAAGTGCTGGGGAGTGATATCGGACAAATTATGTTGTTATTTTGGGTGCATGCAGGGATATGTAACAAATCCCATCATTATATACAACTATAATGCACCAATAAAAAAATGTGGAAAAAATAAACCTATTAAAATAAAAATAAATCACTTTTTCTAGCTTTTTAAAAAATGTATAGTACACTATTATTCTCTGTAATTTGCAATTTATTGGATAATTCACCAATTGATGGAGACTTGGGCTCTTCCAAGTTGGGGGGGGTGACTATTTCAGATGATTGGCCATTTGTATATCTTCCTCAATGAAATGTCTGTTCAAATATTCTACTTATTTTACTGTTGGATTGTTTTTTTATTATTAAAATATATTATGCTAAATTTTTGCCAACTGAATTTTCCCTATGCCCAGTCTGAGAAATAAATATCTGATTTCTGACTTACCTGCTTTATAGTACTTAAAGAGACAGATTTAATAAGAATAAAATTCAAAATATGTCCCCAGGCAAGTCTCGCTGACCTTCACAAAGTTATCTCCAATTAATTTTATGCATTTAAAAACTACACACACAAAAAGTGTGTGAGTCTGAGCCCTAAACCTGGTCAACATGACTTCTGGTTCCCTTTTTCAAGAACAAACACATAACAATTACCTGTGTAGGAAAAACCCCAGTAGTCACTGACAGCTACTTTTTTCTTATGTCAACAAATCTGACCAACCACTACCAAATCCCTCAGCTTCTTGGCACGCTGATGGGTCAATGCTGCAAGTGAGACAATTCTTAGCTGCAGGAAATTTATACCTTGGCTTACATTCCTGGAGTTTCTGATCCTAACATAGAGTCCTACACATTCCAGAGGACTTTTCTGTACAGGTCATCTCTGCCTCTGTGTTTCATCCAAATCCCTACATGACAGGACGCATAATAAACTTCGTAAGGTTGATAACTTAATAGAAGTTCCCATCCGCAGGCTGCTTACTGTGTGCCTGACCCTGGGGACTTTGAGTTCACTGCCTCACTTTAGTCTTCACATAAACCCTGACCCTGAGAAGGGGCTGCTAATACTGTTCCCACTCACAGGTGTGGAAGCTGAGGGTTAAAGAGAAGTAACTGACCATTCCAAGATCCTGCAGCTGGCCCAGGATCAGAGTTCAACCACCAGACTCCCCCCCTTCCCCCCCCCCCAGAGCTGCTGACCACTCTGGGGCACTATCTCTCATTCTGTGTATCACCATTGCATAATCTATTCAGCCAGACATGGCGGTGCTTACCCGGTAGCCTCTGGTGATGGGCACATGGGTTGGGCTCTCCTCGCTTATTTGCCCTCACTGTATTTGGAGAGATGGAAAAATGACCCTGCATTTCCCAGTCTGCCTGGCTGCAGATCTGGAGGTGACTGAGGCTCTGCGGGTGAGCTGCTTCCATACAGTTTAGAAAAGATCCGTGAGTTAAATTGTGTCCCCTAGAAGGATGTGTTGAAGTTCTAAAGTCAAATGCCCAGGGATGTGACCTTGTTTAGAAATAGGGTTTTTGCAGACATCGTCAAGTTAAAATGAGATCCTAGGGTGGACTTCCCTCTCATATGACTGGTCTCTTTATAGGAAGAGGAAAATGCCAAGGGAAGACACATGGGGACAGTGCCATGTGATGACAGGGGCAGAGTTCAGAGCAATGTGCTGTAAATCAAGGAAGGCCGTGAATTGGTGGCCACCATCATACTAGCAAGAGGCATGGAAGGTTTCTACCCAGAGTCTCTGAGGGTCTCGAGACAGCCCTGTGGTGACCTTGACTTCAGAGGTCTAGCCTCCCAAACTGTGAAGGAATCATCCCCTATTGTTTCAGGTCACCCAGTTGGTGGTACTTTGTTTTTGGAAGGCACAGGAAAGAATCCAGGAGGTGGCATGGGACAGAAAGGGTGACAGTCAAGCTGCAATAGGTTTGAGCAACTGCAGGAGCCAGTTCCAGCTGCTGTCATTACAGCTTCATGGCAACAGTGTCCTGACTCAACCACAGGATCTGGAAACCTCCAATCTAGCACTGGCCCCTGGACTCCACTTCCCCATTGCTTCTAATGTCTTGTGTGCACGCCCACTTCCCTGTATCAGATCCTTTTCGGCTCTGTTTCCTGTACTGAACCCTGATTGACACACACACTCATGCTACTAAATGTCTGGAAGACTTAAAAGAGAAGAGTCTCATACAGAAGTCCAGGTGAGCTGAAATAGAAACGCAGCCGTGGGGCCGAGGATGTCATCCCTGCCTTGACCTGCCGCTCTCCCCTCTCTGATCTCCAGGTGAAGCGTCCTTCCCTCCCTCTGACAGACTGTAGACAGACTGCATTTTTTTTTTCCAGAGCTCATACCCTAATCTTGCCCTCACCTCAGTTTGGTTTGCAACCTGGATCGGCTTGTTCTTCTGTTAACCTTTTCACTCTGGAAACTAGTCGTTCAAAATCCTGCGCTAGCCGGATGCGGTGGTGGCGGCACATCTATAATCCCAGTGGCTCAGGAGGCTGAGGCGGGAGGATTGTGAGTTCAAAGCCAGCCTCAGCAACTTATCGAGGTCCTAAGCAATTTAGCAAGACTTGTCTTAAAATAAAAACTGTTGGGAATGTTGGCTCAGTGGTTAAGCACCCCTGGGTTCCATCCCCAGTATCAAAACCACCACCAACAAATTCTATTCTTTGTGTAGTTTTGAGCTCCATTTGGCCAAAATGGAAGTTCTACATGATCTGAGAGGTAGAAGCAAAGCAGTTGTTGTTGGGCAGAAGTACAAGAAAGGGACTGGGGGCACACTCCTGTCTGCCCCGATGTCCCAGTTTTCCCCACCAGTGCCAGACCCACTGGCCACACTGCCCAGTCATGCTTTACTGTGAACTCCGCTGTGTGGTTCACACTTTACAATGGCAAATCCCTTTTCTCGATGCCCTATTTTTCCTTGTGTCCTAAGACGAAGGGCTCCCTCTGCTTGGAATCCCTGCATCTTTACCTTTTTTGGGGCTTCATACTCTTCCTTCTGGAAACAGGATGCAAGAAGGTAGATTTAGTTCCAGGCCTTCATCTTTCCTCTCTTGGCTTCATGTGGCTAACGTGGCTGTGACCCTTGTCATATTTTGAGGTCAGAAGCTGAGTGACAGAGGACAGGCAGGAATTTAAGGGTCATTGTTGGCAGTAAGATCCACGAGGGGGGAGGCGGGGGGGGGGAGATCACGGGGCTAATTAATGCAGGTTCTGCATCTCAAGATGCCAAGAAAGCACAAAAAGATTAGAGGGTTGAGACCCCCCACACACACACATACACACTGAGAATCATCTCACCTCCTCATTATCTTTCTTGTGAGTTGCTGTTTTTATCAGGGGATGGAATCAGGAGTCTGATGATGGAAAAGGGCTGAATTAGAAAGGGTTTCTATCCAACGCTATCATTTATAGTCAGGAAAATAACCTCTATGGACTCTTACAAAGGATTTCTTCTTTGAGCTGGACCTGAGTCACGTTGCCTTACCACGAGTGGACATTAGCAGGGAAGAGGCTGGTCATGTTGTCAGGATTCCAGAGCCAAGTCACCCTCTATCTTCATGGCATTGTCCCCAAACCCCTGGGGAGGAAACAGGAATGACAGATGGCCTTGTGACTAGGCCCTGACACATTTTATCGGTCATTTTTCACGCACCTCTTTGGACTCTAAATTGCATGCATTTTAATGGAGTGTGTGACTAAACTGGCCACAACCCCGGGATGAGGACAAACTGTTTTGGCTCACCAAAGAGACAGGGCCTGACTGGAGAAGTCACTTGTCAGGCTTGGGTCATCTGTCCTCAAAGAGATTCCTGGACTATGGAAATCCTTTCTGGATACCAAATTTATTTACCTGTTTGGGAATCCTTGGAAGATACTCGCAATAGCGATGGCCACACATCTGTCTCCACCTGCAGTCTGTCTCCACCATCCCTTCTCACCCTTGGTGTCCATGACACAGGGAAGAACCACGTCTCTCCCAGCTCCAGGAAGGCTTGGGCTTGCTTCGTGCACAATCCACTTGACTGCTGGCATTATCCTCGGGAGACAGAATCTGTAATTATACCAGTCACTCTGCTGGGTAGACCTGGAGTATCCCCATGATTAGTGGAAGAGATTTACTCAAAACACAAGATGGCTCATTTTCTAGTTGGGTGTATAAGCAAAACACTGTAGAATCATAGCCCCCACTCTTCCAGCTGAAATGCCTCGGCAGCCTTCCTTTTATTCCCTGGTAATTGAAAGCAGCAGGGATGTCTCCTTAGAATCCAGCAGCAAATTTAGGATGGTGGAGGGCAGTCCTTAGAGGCCTTTTGGGGGTGGGGGTGGGGTACCGGGGATTGAACTCAAGGGCACTCAACCACTAAGCCACATCCCCAGCTCTATTTTGTATCTTATTTAGAGACAGAATCTCACTGAATTGCTTAGCACCTAACTTTTGCTGAAGCTGGCTTTGAATTTGCAATCCTCCCGCCTCAGCCTCCTGAGCTGCTGGGATTACAGGCACGCACCACCATGCCCAGCCTTCTTTTCCCCTCAAAAATTCTTAAAATATCTAATTTCCAAAGTCATTTTATATGAGTTCAGAATACAAGTTGGAAATTACAGGAAAAAAAAATATGTAAAATAGACTAAAAGTCCTCCATAATCTCATCTGGCCACAGATAACACTTACTGGCATTTTTAAATATCTATTTCCATCTTTTTGCAGTATGTGTGTGTGCACATGTGTATGGATACGTGTGTATATCCTCACCTGTGTATATTCCCACCTGTGATCTGGCTTGCAGTGCCAGCTCCTCCACCAATGAGCTACTAAGTCTTGGTTCTGCTGGTCACAGCCCGTCCAGGCCTGGTACCAAGGCATGCTGTGAGAACCTGCTCTATGCAAAGTGCTGCCCCTAAAATTTTAATGAAAGCATGGGCCTGTTGCCGAGCACCTCAAAATCTATAAGGAGACAAACACCATTTCCTAAAGCATGTCCTCGCTCTCATGGCGGGAAGCCAGGAAATTCATGGAAAGACTTCTACAGTGATTCCTGGAGGCGAGCGTGAGCGCAGGGACCTGCTGTTGAGGTGACCTCCAAGGCTGACCAGCAGCCCAGCTCTCAGTGCCTGAGAAGAGTTGTGGATCTTCTCGGGGTCAACCTGGACAGCTCAGGGCAGTGGTGGCATTTAGAATTAGGTGATAGAAGTACCATGGGTCTGAGCGATCCATCTGTTGCCATGGTACCCAGACAGCAGGAGGGGACCAGCAAGAGACAGCATCCGCTGTGTCTTCTGCCCCTTCGGCAGGAGGCAAATTATCGGGGGAGGGCCAGCCCCAGGTAGGAGTCAGGGCCCAAATCCAACCCAGGGAGACATTCCTGGCCACAGTCAGGTCTCATACTGAGGACTCTGGAAAGCTGAGCTTCATCTGTGTGTGACAAGGATGCTCGGGGCTCACCGTACCACACTGCCAGTCATGGCTGGGCTGCTCTCCTTAGAGCTCACAACAGAGTGAGACAGCTCCCCTCTTTCATCCATGAATCCTACTTACCTCACTGAGGAGCTATGCAGATGACAGGAAGCGGAAACATGGAAATGCTTGGAACAGCTGAAAGTAGTCAGCCAACGAAAAGTGTCTGAAGGGGCACTTGTGTCTGCAAAATGTAGGTCATCTTCGTTAATGCGTGGCTCTTAGAAATTGAACCTGGTCCCTTCCAGGTGGGTGGCTGAGCTGGGTCCTCTGTTGTCAGGGAAGTGCTACTGTCAGGGAAGCATCTGGTGGCCATATGTTCCTGTTAGTAAGGGTCATGACGGTGGCCCCCAGACACTTCTTCCAGGTAGGCCGTAGGCTCACTGTCTCACAGGTACACAGTCTCCACCCTCTAAAACAGGTAAGGAAACGAGACTCAGAGAAGCCAGGCTCCTAGGCCACTTGGTTACTGAGGGGCAAAGTCCAGACTCCAACCCGGAGCCGTCTGACCACAAATGGCTCCCTCAGCTGTGATGCGAGACTGTGTCCAAGTGTGACACACGGAGCTCCCTTCCACCTGGGAACAACCCAAAACTTAAAAATCCCTCAGGCTCATTTGGGTTCCTCTTATTCAGGGAAAAGTGTTCCTGGGCCTGGAGAAGTGGTAACTAGAGAGGTAGAGGGTGGGTTCTGTTTCCATCCATTCTGCAGGTACCTGCAATTCTAGTCCCACTTCAGCCCCACCCATGGCTCCCAGGAGAGCTCTATCCTGGCCCAGAACCTGCCACGCATTCAGTGCTCCACCAGCACACACTGCATAGAGGCTGCAGACCTTCCCATCCAGTGGCCAAGCTGGTTCTCATTCTATGCCCTAAGTCCTTGCTCCACTGAAAGCCATCTACAGCCTGCCTCTGACCCATGGACTCCCTTTGCTTATGATATCCTTCCTACCAGGCACACACCTCTGCACACCCTGTCACCAAGCAGAGCCCAAACTCTTCCTCCTGAACAAAACTTGCCACCGGACTCATCTCTTCCACACGATCCTTGGCACACCTGTCCGGCCCATCCCTCCAGAAGAGCCTCTCTCTTCTCACTCCTCCCCTCCACCCTCCCACTTCCAAGGTCACGGTCAGCATTTCCTCCTTGTAAAGAACCGGGCTTTGGAACTATTGTATTGTCACAGGAAGTGGGAAATTATCGAGATGCTGCATTTTTTGCCACGATGTTTGCAGAATAAAACTAACACTCGGCATATTTTAGTCCTAGCCTCTTTTAAAAATAAGATTATACATTCCAAGACTAATTTTTATATACGCATTAAGAAATTTCTCATGAGCCTGCGTGGGTACCATCCCCGCTTTCCTGTAAGAGCCATAAAGTCCAACTGCCCGTGCTTCAGGCTTACTCCCTGCCGGACACGCAGCCTCATGGAGATATCTCCAAACATACGCCAGGGCCTGTCTCTGTAAAGAGATCTAAGTCAAAGCAATGAGAATAACACCCAGGCTCCCTTCATTCATTCACTCACTCCTTCACCAGACATTTGCTGAGCATCTACTCCATGCCAGGCACTGTTGTGGGGACTCAGCTCTGAACGGGTGTTCTGTCCAGGGAGCCAGAGAGGAGCAAGCAGGTGAGTGAGCAGACAGCTGGCTCTGGGAGGAAGGAGATGCAGAGAGCAATAGAGTCAGGGACACAGAACCAGGAGCCCCAAGCCCAGTGCTGTGGAGTGAAGAGGTTTTGCTGCGAGACCCTGGACAGAGGTCGGAAGGAGTCAGGAGCCCATGATACGCTCCAATAGAGGGATGCACAGGAGCAGAGGCCCTGGAGTGGGCGTGTGCTCTGAAAGCCAGGCACACTAGAAAGCAGTGAACCAGGCAGAGAGAGAGGCCTTAGCGTAGGCCAGGAGAGCAGCAGACCACCAGAACCTGGCAGAGGACTTGAAGCGTCTTTGGCTTCTGTCCACCTGAGCCACTGGAGGATGATTGCTGTCCCCCCCCCCACCCCCATACTAGGATTTGAACCCATGGTGGTCATGTTTTAATTTATACTTTTAAAAAATGTCTCTTGCAGCCCAGCGAGGTGGCGCACACCTGTAATCCCAGTAGCTCGGGAAGCTGAGGCAGGAGGATCATGAGGTCAAAGGCAGCCTCAGCAAAAAGTGAGGCACTTAGCAACTCAGTGAGACCCTGTCTCTAAGTAAAATACAAAATAGGGCTAGGAATGTGGCTTAGGGGTTAAGTGCCCCTGAGTTCAATTCCCGGTTTCCCCATCCCAAATTCCTTTTGCTGTTGGGTGGAGAGCAGACTGGGGGGGGGGGCAGGGACCTAAATAAAGATAGGAAATCCAGTTTGGAGGAGGCTATTGGTGCAGTGCTACCTGCATTCTAGGGACATCTTGGAGGTCCAGCTGGCAGGATTTCCTGAGAACTTGGATGTGAGGTATCAGAGAAGAAGGGGCCGCACCGGTGACGCAAAAATAATTTTCAAAGTGCCCTGATGCATGCATTTACACTGAAGTCTAGGGTAACCCCTGGGAGGGAAAGGTAGGCAGGGCATCTCTTTATAGATAGGGAAACTGGGGCCCAGGGCGTGAAGGGGCTCATCACACATTGCAGTTGTAAGAGGTTGCCTAGGGATCAGAATGGAGTTTTCCCAGGGCCAGGTACCTTGCCTCATTGCCTGGCTTTCTGTTTTGAAAGAGTCCCGGAAGCAGGGCTGGGCAGGACAGAGAGGGAGGAGAAGAGGTTTCACAGGGGCCAGCAAGTAGGACTGAGCACACCAGGGCAAGTGCTGAGGAGGTGGGGGGCATGGCTGGAGGTTGTCTCTGCAGCCCCCACCACATTCTGCAAACGTCCTTCCCCATCCATAGAGGGACCACAGATGAGCGCTGTCTATTCCATCATCTCCCCCTGACCCTAGACAGTGAAGTAGATTGTACCTGTGATCACTCCTGACTTCCATTCCAGAAGCTTCTCCATGGTGGCCCAGCAGCACAGTTGTCCATGGAAGTCCTGCTGATCTCGGAACAAACGGGGAAGCCTCGACCTTTGGAGGAAACCCAGGGAGCAAATGGGATGCACTTGATACCTGATGGAGTCCCCTGATGCTGGCCAATGCTAAGAGGTTTCAGACATCTTGCCACCCTGTCATTCCTCAGGCAGAATTCTGCCCGGAAACAGAATCCAGCCCTTAGGGTTCAGAGACTTCAGTGATGGGGCTGTTTAGAGAGTGTGGGCAGGTCAAGGAAACTCAGAGTTCACCCACAGTCAGGGCTACTGCCACTTCTGGTCCTGAAGACTCCAGAGAAGAAAAGATATTCTCAAAGACTCGAGAAAACTGGCACCATGAGGAGGGAGCCACCGGACAGAAGATCATGGGGCCACCACCGTGGTCCGAGTCACGACCCAACAGAGAAGACCTCTCGGTTCTGTCTCCTCCTCTGTGCCAGTGCCTCCCGTTGGCCGACTCTCAGAATCCAGAGGCAAAGGGACCCCGGGCATTGCTGTCCTCAGGCCTCCTGGTGCCCATGCAGAGCAGAGAACAGAGGAGGGGAGAGGTGGAGACGGCATGACCAGCACACCCAGAGATGCCGTCGCCCTGGGAGAGACATGTACTTAAAACCACGTCGATTTTTCATTCCTGCTTCCCATAGACCTGTGCTTAAGTTGCAGCTGGAGAAAATCAACTTCTCTGCAAAGAACATCCTGGTAAGAATGATGATTAGGTACTAAAAACCAGACACTGTGAGATCCAGATTCTGGAGGGCTTTCCAAAACAGAATTAAGCTGTCATTGGGCTTCAGATGTTGGTGATCTTCCAGGAGGCACAGGCACAAAAGCTGCCAGACTCTTGAAGTCATTCCTAGCTCCAATATTAGCATAGATGGGTCAGTGTTTTCCAAAATGGCCTGTATTATTTCTACATTTCTATAATGGAAATCGATGCCATTTTCCAGCAAGTCATCTACTAGAGTATAAACTGAGACTGCTCTGCAAATCTTTTCAGGGAAGGCACATCTTGATAATTGGGATGGAGTAGATGGGTCTTCAAGTCCCTATAAATTCCAAATCGTTAAGATGTTTTAAGACCAAAAGGAGCTGACACCGTGGCACAAGGCTGTAATCCCAGCGACTTGGGTGGCTGAGGCAGGAGGATCACAAGTTCAAAGCCAGCCTCAGCAAAAGCGAGGCACTAAGCAACTCAATGAGACTCTGTCTCCAAATAAAATGCAAAAATGGGGATGTGACTCAGGGTTGAGTGCCCCTGAGTTCAATGCCTGGTAGCCCCTCAAAACCAAACAAACAAAAGGAGCTGGCACCATGGCCACATACCAGTGACTCAGGAGGCTGAGGCAGGAGGATCACAAGTCCAAGGCCAGCCTCAGCAATTTAGTGAGACTCTGTCTCAAAATAAAAATAAATAAATAAATAAATGAAAGAACTGGGGATGTAGTTCAGTGGTAAAGCACCTCTGGAAGAAAAAGAAGGAGGAGGAGGAGGAGGAG